CTTGGTTTCTCCTATTTGCTGGTTCTCCTTTTATCTTGGATGTTGGGGAGGGTAGTATCAAATTGACCTGCTACTAGTTTATACGCTGTACACTCAATCTTGGAGGTTCTTTACTTGTGCTTGGGAGTTCAATACTCAAATATCTTCATGATGGAAGTCTACATTATTGAGATTTATTTGCAGGTTCTCTTAGAGATCACATCTAGTTTGAGTATCTTATTTAGATATGGTTCCTCTTGGATGCACAGATCATGCCTCTACACAACTGACCCTCTGCAGTGTTCTATGAATTGGAATTGTGATTCTCTCTCTTATCCTCACACCCATCGAAGTTTGTTTGATATGGGGATGTTGGTGGTATGCATAGCAGACCCTAGAGTTTACTACAGTTTTCTCATCTTTTGAACTTTTATTCTTGTTGCCTCGTAGTAGTTTTTATTGTATTTGTCTTTTGGGTCTTTTCTCCTTTTTATTTTGGCCTTATTGTTGGGGTTCCTTTTGGCCACCCCCACCTTTGTAACCCTGTCTTTTATTCGCTTTAATAAATTTTCTTATATAATATATATATATATATATATATATATATATATAGGAAAGGATAATTTTTATTAAAAAGAAAGGAAAAGAAAAGGAGTACATGGAGGGGAGGACTAGACCAAAGCCCCTCTTAAACTGCATGGAATAGAGAGAAAAAATTGAAAGTGAAAGGAATATGAGTGAGAAAGTGATCACTCCCAGATTATAAAACCGGGGTGCTGATCAAGGGAAAAGTTTCTAGGCATTACTTTCTTTGGTCTCTTTCCATCAGTTCCAATAGGACCGACAGGACCGACATACCAAAAGGGCCCAGAGTAACTTTCGGTAGTGATGATTTTTTCCAAAGTTGTTGATTTTTGGCTCAGCCAGTATCTCGTGATCTCACTAACCGTCCCGACTTCGAGGTTGGGGTCGTAGCTTCTAGTTTTGATTGTTCTTGGTGCATTTGGCCTCTTTGATGTTTATTTGGTACGTCTTTTTTGGACATCTTGAAAGTCATTGGTTTCCTCCCTTTGATGTGATGTCTCCCCTTCTTCAATGTAGGATCTAATTTCATAGTGTTGTCCGTCGATCTCAAAGGATTGAAGGACCGGTCCTATTGTTGATGGGTTGATAACTGCATCGTTAGTCAACAGTGGAGGAGAGTTATTGTTTTCCATAGGATCAGAAGGAGTCTCTTCATTTCCTGCACATGAGGGACTTAGTGTTCTTTCCATCTTTTTCTCAAGACAAAAGGTGGGTTCACCACTAGTAGCTTCCAACAGTTCTTTTGTGAGAATTGGAAATTTCTTTAGGTTGATTGGAGAAGGATCAGAATTGAACTCTTCATTATTATAAGTGTCAACAGTGTGTGTCTTCTAATTCTGCTTCGGAAGACAGATTATGTGCGCTGTGGCAGTGTTCATTGTTATAAGGTAGAGGAGAGTTGGGTTCCATCCATATCAGGGGTATCATCTTGGATGTTGGTAGGAGTTGCCAATATTACCTCACTGTTACCACATGCTGCTGGGCAATTGTCAGTAGGAGTAACTTCACAACCATCAGAAATTTTCTTAACATCAGGATAAGCTTCTGTACAACTCTTGGGAAGAATTGCATCAAAAACTTTCTCAACATTATCTGTGTCATCACGAACATTAGGGACTGAGTCAACACTTACGCTAGTTGCTAGGAAGCTGTCAGGGGGAGTTATAGTAGCAGGTACTTTGGTTGCCATGGCATCAACTAGAACTCTTGGGGTAGCAGCCCCAGCTGTATTTGAGTCTGTTTCTTTGACAGGAGACACAGACACAGTTGCCTCATTCTCAACACTTGAACCACCTAGGTTTGTTTGCAAAGCAACCTCTTGTGTTGTTTGGGTCACTCCAGGTTTAGAGACAGCAACAACAGTTGTTGTATTCCCAGTTTCAGTACTCCCTTTAACCCATCTAGAGGTCTCATTCTTTCTTTTGCAATTTTTGTGACCAAAAGATTTGCATGAGGGGCAATAGTCTGGGAGATCTTCATAGGTGATTGGCTGTAGGAAAGTCAGTTCTCCCAGGTGAATCCAAACACAACGGGGAAGTTCTTTACTGGTATCTATCTCAACACAAATTCGGGCAACAAAGGGTCTCGAAAGAGTTGCTGTTGCTGAATCAGTCTTTAAAGGTTTACCAAGCAAATTTCCAATAGAATATAAAGCAAGAGAATCAAATAGATGTATAGGTAGGCCTTCAAGGCCTATCCAAACTGGGATTAATGGGGAATCAGCATTAGGGTCGAAATAAGGAGTCCATCGGAAAACTTTCAAGGTGAATCCATTTATCTTCCAATATTTCCGCAACAAACATCTTAGAAAGTCTTTTTCAGATACGAAATTGATCAAAATATGGCATTCATCTAGGAGACTTACAGAGAAATCGTTTTCAAAGCCAATTCGTTCAAAGGCCTTTCTGGTTGAGATAAGGCTTGGTCTCCCTTTGATGAAGCGCCCAACAATTGTTCGAGAGAATCTAGATGAGAGCGCACTCACATCCTCGTCTGTGAAGGAGATGGCTGGCTGGCCTTTAAATTTGCGCGCTGGTTTGTAGTCTCCTGCATCTGCAATTTCGCTGAAGGTGCGTTGAGGATGGGAGCTGGACATGGTTGGATGGAGATCTAGTCGTAGAGTTCAGATCTAGAGAGAGAAGTCATCTTTTTTTATATTATATATATATATATATATAATATATTATATATATATATATAGGGATTGACATGCTTCGGTCAGATGACACAAAGCTCACCACTGGTCACTGCAAAGCTCACCAAAGACAACTATAAAGCTCACCAAAGTGTAAGGCAAAGCTCACCATATTTTTTCAACACTTTGAATTTTTTTCCCAAAAAAAAAAATCAAAGGAAAGGGTGCTGACTGGACTTTGACTGCATTGACCGCCAGCATTGATCGCCAGCATTGATCGCCGCCTGCCACCGGCCGCCGCCGCCGCCGCCGGTCGCCGGAATCCGGTCACCGGCGCCGCCGTCTGCCAGACGCCGTCGCCGGTCGCCGGAAACCGGTCACCGCCGCCGTCCGCCGCCGCCAGTCGCTGGTCGCCGCCGCCGCCGGTCGCTGGTCTCTGTCGCCGGTCGCTGGAATCCGGTCACAGCCGCCGCCGGTCGCCGGAATCCGGTCACAGCCGCCGCCGGTCGCCGGACTCCGGCCGCCACTGCTGCTCCGCCGCCCTTGACCAGTGGTTGACCGGTGTTGTTATTTTATTTTTAATTAATTTTTTAATTTTTAAAATTTTTAAAAAAAGTGAGTTTTGGGGTTCAAAGTGGTGAGCTTTGCTTTATTTTCAGGTGAGCTTTGCATTGTCCATTGGTGAGCTTTGTAGTGTAGTGTGGTGAGTTTTGCTTTATTAGCTTTTTTTTTTTTTAAAAAAAAGTGGTGAGCTTTGCATTGTTCCTTGGTGAGCTTTCCAT